ACTGAGAACCGACACCACTCTGCACCCCACCGAAGGAGATCGCGAAACCTCCTCCATGCGGCACCAGGTGGCTAAAGAAGTTCTCCATCTTCGGCAATGGCCGGTCCGGAGAGAGGGTCTTGTGCGGTGGCGGCGAGTAGCAGGAGGGGGAAGGTTTATTCTTGAGATCTGGTTTTTTGTTTTTGGAGAGAGAAATTTTGTTAATAATGGTGCAACTCCAAAGTTGTGTAGTATATTATTTTTTTCTTGTGGAGTGGTGCTTTTTAGGGGAAGTTTTGAAATTTGTTGCCGGGCTATGGAATGGGGAACGTTGTAAATGGGAATTTTCGATGCTACATGTGGGGCATGTGCAGTCATGCCCCCACACCCCTTGATTTACACGTACACACACCCACATGGGTGTGTATGAGATCAAGGGTGGTGGGGGCATGACTGCACTGCCCCACCTGTAGCATCGAATTAGCCTTGTAAATGGGTCCCAATTTTGCCAAATGGAATGATGAGGAATTTTTCACTTTTATCACCAAAATGGGTGTTTGTCAATTATCAATACTTAGTAAATCCGACTGCAAACGAGTCGAGCCCGTATTTTTAAGATTGATTGTACAACGAGTCGTTAAAAAAATGTATGTAGTTATTTAAATATACCTGACTCGAGTAAATTTTGGCCTTAAATCAGAGTAGAACTATCCTTAAATTTATGTAGATCTCAACCTATAAAATTTTATTATACAATTACAATAATTATTTATTACTATTTTATATGTACAATGTGGATGTCATATATTAGATATAAAAAATGATCAATACAGTACATTATATATGTTGATGTCTAAAAATGACCAACAATGCGTTCGAACTGCACACTAAGATGTGTACTCTGTTTGGTCTGCACGAATAGTATTTATGTATGTGATTCGGTTTGATTTTACTGGTCCGAATTCTCAGGCTATCCGTGACTTATAGAGTAATTAATGAGAGCATTTACTCATTGCATTAAATCATGTCCTCCCCTCCCTTTTATAGGAAGTTTAGGGACTTTACATTTTCCTCTTGGGGATTTTTACATTTCCTTTTACAGGATATTTTTAGATATTAGTCATTCAACATTTAATGCTAATTGTACTTGATAATCTTTTCCCAATATCTGAGAGTCGTCCGGATCGTGCCACGCGTCCCTATTTTTCCCTTGCCGTCGGATAAGAGATTTTTATGTATCTCCGCATTTAATGCGCACTGTACGACTAGCTCTTGTAATGATTAAACAGATCTCGCTCACTCTCTCCCATCCGTTCGGCTGCGGCCCGATCCCGGAGGCATCCAGTTCCCTTTTTTTCCTTACTAACATTCGTTCGGTCTGTACCACCAACAAAGGCCCCCTGATTCGGGCATCACGTTAGGTGTAATCTCCGGTCGCAATGCCAGGATCTGCATATTCCTGATGAACCGAACGTCTCTGCCTCCTTCTTTTCTTCCGACCGGTCGTCCTCTAATTCCAACAGGCGCGTATCTTCAGTGACGGTTACCTTCTCCTAAAAGGGCGCGTCTCCCTTTTCGACGGTTTCCAGAGTAACTTCTATTTCACACGTGTCGCCTTCTTATTGGGTACCCCTGTATTAATGGCGTATGTGAATCGCTTCGTCTGACACGTTGTATCGTACCTTAATCATTGTGTCTCTTCATTCCCTTTTTAGACAGTATAAATATGTTTTCTCCCCTTTCGAAAAGTCCCACACTATTCTTCTCATTCAAAATTATTCTGACTTCTCCCTACTCTTCGAACCGATCGACCTGTGCATCCGTTCGACTTTCCCTTACCTGTGGTCTAATATCTGCTGAAAGGTAATTTTTTCTCTTCTTCTCCTTATTTCTCCTATATGTTAGTCAATATGAGTGTCGAGGCTTCGTCAACGTCCAAAAGTTACAACGAGGAGCAATACGAGGAAGCCCTTCAAGGTGACACGACGGGCAGGATAAGACTCCCGCTTCAAATAGAGAGTCCGAATGAGGATCACCGAATAGAACAAGCAGTCGTGTCCGTTCCAAGCGGATACTGGCGTCGTCCCTACCGCGAATGGCCGTCAACAAGTGTCTTCGGACTGGCTCACATTCCCAGCGACATGACGGACGATAAGGTGGTCAAGGTCCGAACATCCATCCGGCTCCCTCGTGACATCAAGATGTTTGCGCCCTACAGTCGAGAACGGGTTCACTGTCCGCCACCCGGTTATATCGGCGTGTTCGAGCGTTCGGTTGCTTTCGGGGTCCGTTTCCCGCTTCCTTGTATCCTAACCGAATACCTGAGAGACTGGGGGGTCGGTTTTAGCCAGGTTTCTCCGATCGTCTGGCTGAAAATCATTAGTCTGCTCGTATTGTTCAGTTAACAAGGTTGGGAGATGCCGACACCGGATGACATTCGCGCGCTGTTCCTGATGAAAGAGACGAGAAAGAAATCTGGGCAGTTTTCTATATCAGTTCGGGACCCGAGATTTAGGGATCTCATCACCAAAGTCCCGGAGACGATCAGCAAATTCAAATCTTCGTGGTTTTGGGTCGGACGCGGCTGGCAGACACTGAAGTCTCCGGATGATCCGGGAGCTTCTGAATTTTTAACTATTCCGAAGAGATTCGTCGCAAAGATTTGTGAGTTTATGCTTTCTTTTTCTCGTTCATTTCTCCTAATTTTCGGTTATTTTTTGTCCGACCTAACAGGTCAAGTTCGTTATTTCAG